GCCATATTCAGGAAGAGGTGGTAGAGGAGCAAGTCTTGGCTGCCCTGTGTGAAAGATCCTTGTTGCCTGCAAGACCCTACAGGTAGCAATTGTAGAAATTTAAGACCTTTTTTTCAAATAAAAGACAATGTATGAACAAATAGCAAAAGCAATGAATGGGGATGAGGATTCAGGCAGTTTCCCATGTCATAATGGGAAAAAAATGGACTAGGAAGTGGAAGGTTAGATGTGACAAGGGCAATGACTTAATCACTCTCAAAGCCATATATAATCTACCCACTCTCGTCTATAAATCTTATAGATGATCTATCTAGCATTTTGTTTATTAATAGCACTTAAATATATGGACCTTGCAGCCAGATTCTCTGGGTTAAAATCCTAGACCTGCCACTTAAACTTTTATAATCTCAGATTTCTCTATGTAAAATGGGAATACACCATATTACTTTGTAGGGTTGCTGTAAGGATTGAGTTAATATATGTGAAGTGCTTTTAGAATAGTGCTTGGCATATAAAATTCTATGTTAAGTAGTTAGCTATCGCATGCCTGCTGTGTTGTAAGGTTTTTATGTCAAGAACTTTTAGGCTCTTTTCACTATTCAGACTCAGTCCACACTGAACTGTCCTTCCAGGTTTCAGGGAGCCCACAAAGGGGCTGGAAGTGACTGCTCTGGGATGGGCCCTTTCTAGGGAAGGAGAAGGGTCTGGTCTGGAAGAGATCATCCCAGCAAAGAAGAGAAGCAATGAGTTGTGAGTTTCAGACTACGATGTCTGGCAAGAGCTGGGCCCGGTGGCTCCTAGGAATCCTGCTGTCTAACCTGGTATCAGGAGGCTCCTCTGGGACAACCCGATACTCAACACCACCAATACCCTGTTGTGGGTTCAAATCACCTCGCACAGAGGCTTTCATTGGGCTGTAGTGCACAGCATGCTGATCATCTGGATGATCAAGCTGAACCTTACTCTGTAGACCACACCACCTTCTATTTCATTGTCTCCCTGGCCCTGATTGACATTGCACTTGAGGTGCTATTTATACCACTGGCCATTGTCCTTAGCCTGAACATCCCAATATATTTCTACAACTGCCTTTTTATGTGCTATGTGCTGCTGATCTTCACCCATGCCTTTATCATGTCCTCTCTGGTCACTGCTGTGAGCTACATCCTCAACCTCATGTTTATCTTTTGAATATTATTAATGCTTTTTACTATATCAGCTATCTGAAGCTTTAGAATTTGAAAGTCATGCTCAACATTTCTTCACTTACAGGTTTCTCAGCCTCAGCACTAGACATTCTGGACTTGGCAATTCTTTGTTATAGAAGGTTGTTCTATGCATTTAAGCAGTATCCCTGTGACCTTTATACAGTAGATACCAACAGCACCCTGCTTCTCTGTGATAACAACCAAAAGTGTTTCTAGACACTGACAAATGTTAACCGAGGGACAAAACTGACCAGGTTGAAAAATCATGATTTAAATCATAGCACTAGAGAATTCACTGATGCAAATCCTCTCCTCATCTGGCTTGGTTGAAACTTTTACTGTGGCTTTCTTACTCATCTATCAATCCAAAACTTGATCTCTCTGCTTCTTGTCAAATACCCCTTAAACCTAGCCTCTTTGCATTATTATCAATCTTTCTAAAAATGTAAATTTGACTTGATAATTCTTTAATAGGCTCTCTTCTGCCTACAGAAAACAAATTACTTAACATAGCATACTTAGCTCAATACCCATTACATTTTATGACCTCCTCTTCTTTCATTCTACCTTCACCCATACAGAACCGCTTGTTTCTCAAAAACAAAAACTTGCCTTATGCTGGTCGTTCTGCCTAGTATGCCTTTTAGTTAATGACTGCCAAATCAAATCAAGCTTTAGAACATCTCAGGCATGTCTTTTATAAAGGTGTCCTCAATTCTGGGCTAACATGCATTCACTTAAGTGAACAAAATACTTGACTTTTTACTTATGCTAGGCACTGGGAACCTCATGAGGGTTGTGAGAAGTGTATGTCCACACAAAATTTCAGATGCTGTAAATGCTATGAATAACAAAAGAGCAAGGGAACAAGGAGGCCTCTTGGTAGGTTAGATGACATTTGAGTCAATGACTTGGAACAAGTGTAAAAATCCTTAGGCAAGAATGAACTTGGCAGTTTGCAGAGGTACAGCAAGGCCAGTGTAACAGAAAAATGAGCTAAAAAGAGAATAGAAGGAAATGGTCAAGAGGTAGGATGGGATCAGTTCATGTTGGGTTGTCAGGGTTATGCTGTTCGGAATTTTTTCAAGAGGAATGGGGGCTCTGAAGGTTGGAGGTGGAGACTGACTTAATTCCTCTGGTTACTGTGAAAATGTGCTCTGCTGTGATAAGAATAGGGATACAAGACTAGTTAAGAAGCCACTGAAACAGCCTAGGTGAAAGATGATGATGGTTTATATTTCAGTAGTAGTGGTAGTGGAAATGGTTAGAATCAAAATCTGTAGAAATAGCCTTCCTGATGTCCTGGAGATGGAGTATAAAGAAGATCAAGCACATTCCTTATATCTACTGTATATCGTTAGACCCTTTATTATTCTTACTCATTTTTTTCTGGTATTGGGTATCAAACTCAGGACCTTGCACTAGCCAGGCAGGCATGGCCGCACTGAGCTACATCCCTGGCTTTTTACTCATTTTTAAATGTTTGTATGGAGTCTTTTTTCTCTGATAAGTTGGAAGCTGCCAATTATAGTGTCATTTTACTGTATACACAAGTCAAGTACATATAAATTATAGCTATTTTTCAAGGTATAGGGTAATTAAGTTTTAGGGCTAAATTTGGAATTAAAAAAAGAAATCTCAAAGAAAAATGACATGTTTTATAAAATAATTTTATCAGCTGCTAATATGTACTAAGTCAGTGGTGGTGAACCTATGACATGTATGTTGTTTTTCTTTTAAGACGAAAGATGTTAATGTATGAGTGGCTTTTTCTAAACGAAAACCTCACTGTTCAGGTTTAATTGCAGTACTGGCACTTTGCAATAAATGAGTGAGTTTTGGGTTGCAGTTTGGGCACTCAGTCTCTAAGAGTCACCAACACTGTACTAAGCATATACTATGTATCGAGTGCTGTTTTTTATTTTTTTCCTACAGGAATTGTATTTCTTAATTCTGATAACCCATAACATACTATTGTAGGAGATAGTTTATTTAGTTAGCTCATGAGTGAGGCAGCTAGCTAGTGGAAGGGCCTGAGATAGACCGACAGTGACCAGCCATACTCATAAAAATTAAGGATAGTGAGGGCTGGGGATTTAGCTCAGTGGTTCCAGCAGTGCCTGCCTTGCAAGCACAACATCCTGAGTTCGATCCCCTGTACCAAAAAAAAAAGGATAGTGAACTAGGACTTTGGACAAAGAATGAATTTTTTCAGGCAGCATGGAATGCAGCCATTCCCTACTAAGATCCTGAATTTTGAGAAAGTTATAAGGCAGATTAACCCGTTTCTTCTGAGATCCCAGTTTACAGTAAACGCTGAATGAAAGAGCTGGACTAGAGAGCCTGAGTCCCAATTGATCATTCTCAATCCACAGAGTCACTTGTGATAGGTGACCACTAAACAGTTATGCAATTCCTGTACCCTACTTGCCTGTAAGTAATTCTAGATTGCAAGGTCATGTGGCAACCCATTCAGGACCCTTCCTGTCAGTCTCTCTGGAACTACTCCTATTCCCCAATAAACCCTTTCTACTCTTAACCTTCTTTGTCTTTTGGAACTCATTCTTCCATTTCAGGGACACGAACTCAGCACATCTGACATCTAGTAGATCGGGAGTTGTATTTTCTCCTACATCACTGTCATCTATTTTGCAGATGAGAAAAATGAGGTCACACAGCTAGTAAGGAGTCAGGTATATCTTGTCCCACGTTTGGAAACCTCACTCTAAACCACTACTCTACAGCTGATTCTATGCCTAGATCGAGTTTGCGCTCCATGATAGCAGGCACTCAGCCTTACTAGTCATTATATTCTTGGCTATGAGAGTGGTAAGAAAAATATTTCCAGAAACAATAAATGATTTCAGCAGGAAAAAGTAGGAATCCATGAGACATTGGAACAACATGCTTTACTGTTTTAATTTAACAAAACCTTTAGTATACAACCTAGTAATTGGCTGTTGCAGCTATGTGTAGCTGAAGGTCACGGGGCGGGGGTGGGGCTTAGAAGACATCAAAGACAGTTTCTAGTTTAGTAGTGCACTTCACTTATCCCCTTACATTTTTGTCATTCGGGGTTATGAGGACGCTCAAGGCAGTTACAGGAATAAGTGAGGCTTTAAACGTACCAAAATTATGAAGAAAGGTAACTTCTAACCTAAGGCTAAGAGTAGCCAATGAAGGAATGAAACAAGGTGAAAAACTAAAGGGAGTATTGCACTCCTTACACTTACCCTGGTCCTAGGAGGGCTACGTTCTTCAGAGAAGGGGCTGCAGATGTACAACGGGCAGGTCAGCAAAGTCAAAGTAAAATCTAGTCTGTCCCTTCCTCTGTCGCCGCGGAGGCCGACCCCTAATGCCACACTCCACTCTTTCCCATCTCCCTAGATCCCACGACGTCTCCAGACGTACTGATCATTCCCCACACTCAGAGTCAATTGTCACTGGGCCTTTCTGCACCCGCTTCCCCCCAACCCCCGTACCCCCTAGATTTGCTTCTTTCCAATCACCTTCATGGCCTGCAGGGCAGGGTTTACACCACTCACCCGCTGTAGCGGCAGCAGAAAATACCACCCGGGACAGCATAGTCAACAAAGGTCCAGGAGGCAGTTCTAGCGTCCCTGTGACCCCGACCGGTGACTCTGGTCAGGGGTAAGAGCAAGATGGCCGTTGGCAAATCTCGCGAAAAGAGAACTTCGTCCTATCCCTTCCCTTCAGTTTTAGACTGGAGAGTTTTTTTTTTTCTTCTCGCGAGAAGAGGTACAGAGCGCCGAAAACTTGTCGAAGGTGGCCTGCAGACCGGAAACAGGTTGGAAGCGTAGCAGAAATTCTCGCGAGAAATAGTTACCGTTGCCTCCAGAGAGGGGCGGAGGCTCAGAGGTGTACCTCGTGGGAACGGCCCCTGGAGCTGAATCGGGCCGGCCTCCAGTTTGAGATTAGGTGGGATTTGGAACCGTGGAGATGCGGAAGGAAACTCCGCCTCCCCAAGTGCCCCCAGCAGCCCGCGAATGGAACCTTCCTCCTAATGCACCCGCCTGTATGGAACGGCAGCTGGAGGCTGCGCGGTACCGGTCTGGTGAGCCGAGATCCCCTGCCTGGTAGTTCCCTGGCCTGACCCCGGGGCGCCCCTCCCCAGGAGTGACCCTCTAGCCCACCTTGAGCCACGTGCCTTTCTGACCCCTGCCTCGCGTCGCCGAGCTCCCAGAACCCTGCCCCTTATCCCTGAGCTCAGATCCAGACCCGGCCCGCGGGCTGTTTGGTGCGGTCACCATAGAGACGAGCTCCTCCACTTCCCGCGCTGACAGCTTGTACCCTCTCGTAGATGGGGCGCTTCTGCTCGGCGCCTCCAGCCTTAGTGGCCGCTGCTGGGCCGGCTCCCTCTGGCTTTTCAAGGACCCATGTGCTGCTCCCAATGAAGGCTTCTGCTCCGCTGGAGTCCAGACGGAGGCCGGAGTGGCTGACCTCACTTGGGTGGGGGACAGAGGTATTCTAGTGGCCTCTGATTCAGGTGAGTCACTTTCCTCTCCCCTCCACGCCCCCCTCCGTAGAATGGAGACTTGGTTACAGGTCGGACTGGACTCAGTCTTTAATATCTCACAATCAGTGCTTGGAGGAGCTGAGAGTATTGTCGAGTAGTTCCACAATTGTTTATTAGTGCCTGAATAATTGGAAAGGGTCACTGGATTGTGTGGACTCAGATGATTGTGGAGACTTCATCCTTGTTGCCTGGGAACTGATTTTCTAGTATTTTCTTGTTGGAAGCAGAAAAATTGATTTTCTAGGTTGTTTCATCTTTCCCTGCCTTCTTAAAGGAGCTTCCCCCCACATAATTGTCTAGGCTGTTATTAGGAATACAGTAAGGCTGCATAAAACCAAATGGCCTAGAAGTTAGCTAAATCCCCTAATGATGTGTGTTTTCCTCTTATAGGAATAACTTACTTTGTTAGTTTAGTGACAAGGGTTGCGTGAGTTTTAGAAGTGAATTATTGTCTTGGTATAATCTAAGCTCATGTTTCTCTTATTCCCTCACCTTGCCCACTTCATCCTCAACAGGTGCTGTTGAATTGTGGGAGCTGGATGAGAATGAGACACTTATTGTCAGCAAGTTCTGCAAGTATGAGCATGATGACATTGTGTCTACAGTCAGTGTCCTGAGCTCTGGCACACAAGCTATCAGTGGTAGCAAAGACTTCTGGTAGGACCCTCTTCTCATCACTTCTGTCTCTAGACTTCCTTTGGTTCTTACTATCCTGTTAACTTCATTAAGTGGCATTTAAGGCTTATTATAAGCACCCAGTGCTCAATTATAGCATGTCTGTTGGATTGCCTTAGAGATTTGGCAATTCCTTGTAAATAGACCATAGCAGCAGTCCAGGAGGCAGTGACATGGGACATGCTGGTTAAAGGATGTTCTTATATGAACACATTTTTGTTGTTAGTGTAGGCCAAGATTAAGTCTGTTTCCTGTTTCTTTTTGCTTCTTAGCATCAAGATTTGGGACCTTGCTCAGCAGGTGATACTGAACTCATACCGAGGTTAGTATTCCTTTCTCTTTAGTCCTGGCCTTAGCTATCTTGTTTTAATTCTCTTTGGGCTCTTTAAACTTAGGAGGTTAGGAGCAGCAGTTCCATGTTCTGCCTGGAGGTTTTTTGTCTTTGTTTTTCTGGGAACTGTAGTCAGGTTCCAAAATCCACCCCTTCCCCTTGTCTCAGTTTATTTCTCTTGATGGTCTCCTACCTTCTTGGCTGTATAAGACTTATACGTTCCATCTTCTTCCACCCCTGCTTCCTCACTGTAAGTTGGTCACCAACTTCTTTTGAGTTTTCTATTTTGTCAGTCACCTTCTTGTCCATTTCTAAGGCCTCACTTTTTCAGGCTTTACCTCTCACATATGTGGCACTCATCTCTCCTATAATTTCTGACTCTTTTGGTCCTTCATTGGTTTCTTGTGATCTGCAGATTGAAATTCTATTCTCTTGTCACAGCATTCAAGCCATTTTACTGTTATTTTGTACTGTAATAGCTTTCCCCAGATTCAGTATATCCTTGACCTTCTCAAAGTTAAGTCCTGAGATGGTCAATAAACTTTTGAGGTTTTGAGTGTTCACCTCTACTAAGTAAATGTCTACAGTGGTACCTCGGTTCATGAATTTAATTCTACAATTCTGTTTGTGAACCGAATTGAATGAGAACTGAATCAAATTTCCCTATAAGGTCAACATTGAATTTAACCTTTGAATTTGGTTTGGTTCTCGTCCAATTTGATTTGTAACCAGAATCATAGAAAGAATTAAGTTTATGAACTGAAGTACCACAGTATTTCTCAAGATTGATGTGGTGCATACCTGTAATCCCAGCGCGTAGGAGGCTGAGGCAGGAGGATCTTGAGTTAGAGGCCAGCTTGTGGTATATATACAGTGAAACCTTGTGTCAAAAAAACAAAAAAGGAAAAAGGTCTGTTTTTCTGCGGTGTACCATCATTCTCTTCAAAGTTCTTTGTGTTTGCCTCCATTAACAGTGTTAAGAGTTTATTTTGGTAGCAACTCTTCATGAGGATAATGACTAGAGTTTTGTTGTTGAACCTAGGGCCTTTGCACTGCGCTATATCCCTAGCCCTTTATATTTCTTTCATTTTGAGATAGGGTCTTGCTAAGTTGTCCAAGCTAGCTGGAACTCCTGATCCTCCTGCCTCAGCCTCCCAGAGTTTTGGGAATACAGGCATGCACCACCAAACCTGGCTGGCTAGAGCTTTAATGAGTGGGTAGCTATGCAATTGATATGTTGGGTGATCATTATGGTTTTCTTAATAGCTAAGTGCTTTTCCCTACTGTTTCTAATTTCAAAGCGCATGACTCAGTTTGTGCCAGAACAAAATAAAAATATACACATATTCTGGACCTTCAGGGGTACTTGCAAATTGTCGAACAATAATATTAAAATGTCAGTGTCCAAGGTCTATTATACTTGCCTTTTCTTTGTTAGACATTGACTTTCCTAACTAAAGATTACTATACTTGATCTTAGCCAAAAGGCCGAGAAGCGATTCTAACTAAAGATTAGTTATCTTTTTCAGCATTTCCCCATTCAGCCTTCTTCATTAGTTCTTTGTGTTTGTGCCTTCTTCCCTATACTGAATTCCAAATCCTTTAAGGATGGAGGAACTGTATGTTCTTCATCTTTTATATACTGTCATGGTGCTTGTCTCAGAGCTTTATTATATCAAGTGAGCAATAAGTTTTCTTCTCTGACTTACTGACCTTTGGGCTTTCCATAGATTCTAGGGCTAAGAAAGAAGTATGGAAAGTGATTCAGTCCTCAGGGCAGGGCAGGAGCACATTCAAATTATCTTGGAAAGTCTGGTTAGAGATGGTTTTTACAGCTTGTACTTAATGTGTAGCAGTGATCTTCAAACTTATTTACATGTAGGCCTTTTAAAAGAATTTGAAAGCTATAGGCCCCTCATTTTTAAATTGCTGTCCAAAAGATTTTAAATTTAAATAGTCCCAAAGGTAATTTCTGGCATGTCATTTATTGTATACTTAATACAAGGATATGTTTGTCAAAATTTTGGATTAGCAAAATAAGTGTTATTTATTCAAAATGTCTACCAAATAGCAAAAAGCAATTTGCATTGTTAAGGCAGTTGGCTAAGTTAAACTTTACTTTCTGTCAGAAAAAAGTTTGAATTCACTTGTAAATTCAGGTCAACTTGTTAGATGTGTTCTTATGACAACTTTCTATCAATTTTTATTTCTCATTATTAAAAATACATAAATCATAAAGCTAGGCTTTTGTTTTTGATGTAACTCAAACAAGATCAATCCCCTCCACTGAATTTTACCCAGGTACTCGTTTCTTTGTCCTTTGGCTTTTAGGGATGATCTCCTTTTGTCCCTTAGTTTGGACCCTTAGATTCTTATATACCTGAGCATTGTGGCATGGGAAGATTTGGGCTATTGTATGAAGTAGAAGATGGGTGGTTATGAAAGGAGAGGCAGAGCAGTTTTAGGAAAGAGAATGTTAGAGAAATCTACTTGCTTAAAACTCTCAGTGCCAAGAAGTCCCTCAGAAGTTTTTGTGTACTACTTGCAGATATGTGTACTGTAGTATGAAAACTATTCTTCTAGAATATTATGTAACCCTTGTGTCTAGTATATCTTTTTTTTGTGTGTGTGTGTGGTACTGGGGATTGAACTCAGGACTTTGCGCCTGCAAGGCAGGTGCGGTGCCACTGAGCTAAATCCCCAGCCCTGCATCTAGTATATCTTAACTGCAAATTCCTTCACTATTCCCAACCTTCTAATTTCTCCTTCATTGTCTTTACTAATTCCTTTCTCCCAAGCTTTTTCAGATTTTATGGCTCTGTCAACCTTTCCTCTTAGATTTCCATAATTCACAGCCCCTCAAAGAATTTATTAAATTGCATCATGGAACCAGGCCTGCTTCTCACCCCCTTTCTCCTGGTCCTTGATTTTCTATCTAGGTTGGCCTTGTAATATCCTCAGCCTCCCCTCCATTGTATTTCTTTCTCGTTACAGCTCATGCGGGACAGGTTACCTGTGTTGCTGCCTCTCCCCACAAGGACTCTGTATTTCTTTCATGTAGTGAGGTGAGATACAGCTTCTTCCTCAATCACACTTGGAACCTATAGGCCAGAATTCCTGATTTGGAGACCTGCCATCAGCGGCTCCTTTGGATTGCCTTTTTCTGTTCTTCCTTTTAGGACAATAGAATTTTGCTGTGGGATACCCGATGTCCCAAGCCGGCATCACAGATGAGTGAGTCTGACAGCCAGTGGCTTTCAGGGAGGGTGGTACTAGGAATCCCCTGGCAGAGGCTTTCTTTGGCCAAAGTCAAAGCAGAGTGGCCAGATCCCCAGTCACTGACATAGTGACATAATCTTTCCCCCCGAAGCTCTGCTAACCCCGTTCTGTGCAGTGAGTACTGAAAGGAAGGGCTGGTTCCTGGGTTGGCACTTTGTTTTGTAAAGCAGGGAAAAGGGTTGGAATTGTTCTCATGCACTGTGCTTGAAACTTGCCTATGATTTGTGCCTAGAAGGGCAGAGGCTGATGGATAAATGTAGTTATGAGGTTCAAGCATGTGGACACGACTGCCTTTACAGAGTTTGGGGAGCTGAGTAAAGGTGTACCCTGGGTTTAGATTGACATCATTTGAAAAACTACTCCTGGTTTTTGTTTCAAATCTCCCTTTTCTCCTTTGTAGGCTGCAGTGCCTCTGGCTACCTTCCTACCTCCCTGGCTTGGCATCCTCATCAAAGTGAAGTCTTTGTCTTTGGTAAGGCAGCATATGTTAGGTTGCATATTGACTCTAGGAAGAGGGAGGATGAGAAAGAACAAACTCCATGGTGTACATGTTCTTGCTACACAATCTCGTCAGCACAATTGAGCACTAGATGAATTATGCTAGTTTTAGTTTAGCTTTGGTGAACTTGATGGTTTTTTTTCTCAGTGTATATGATTCCTGGTTGTTCCAGCTTCCCTGTTCTGAGCATGGCTTAGCTAGAAGTCAGCCACAAAGTGAGTGGTTTGTTACATGTAGAACTCTGGTCTACTTTGGGTAGATGTGGTACATAGTGGTAAAGAGGCTTTGCCCATAGTAACAGTTTGTGGTTAAAATCAGTACTACTTCATTAATTTTCTTCCTTTTTTTTTTGGCACTGGGAATCAAACTCAGGACCTTGCACTTGCGAGGCAGGCGCAATGCCACTGAGCTAAATCCCCAGCCCAACTTCATTCATTTTTATAGCTACCCAGTGACTTATTGTTCCTACTTTGCAAAAGAGGAAACTACTCAGTGATTAATTTGTCCGAGCTGAGGAAACTAGGATTCAAATCTAGGTTTGGCTAACACCAAAGCCCATGATCTTAACCACTGGGCCATGCTCTTTTTCTTTTCTACAGGTAATGAGAATGGGGCTGTGTCCCTTGTGGATATGAAGAATGCAAACTGTGCCCTCAGTTCAGCTGTGCACACCCAGTGTGTCAACAGGCTGGTGTTCTCCCCACACAGGTAGTTCTTTGTCAGCAGGCCCCTGCAGATATGAGTGGGCACAGTGAGGGGCATGCATATGTTGGCAAAGGATTAGTTGATCAAGTTTGTTCCTTAAGGCAGGCAGGCATTGCCCTAGTTGAGGTTTCTGAGCATCAGGGTTCTCTTGAGACTAGTCTTTGGTTGGGTTGTATGGTCAGTATGAAGATAGAGGAAATGATTCATTCCTGCTCAGCACCCAAAATGATTAATATTGTGGGCTTTAGGGGTGTGTAGTTGGGAGAGCCTGTGTCCCTGGGTTACTGCTAAAGCAATAGAGAGGGCCCAGATGAGGTGATTAGTTGCTAGCGGGCTTTGCTCCATTTCATATTTCCTTGGAACTTGTAACTCAAAGTGGGGATCAGACTGCCGTCTCCTCTGGGTGTGTTTGCAGTGGGGTTGGGGTGGCCCCAGTCAGTTTTTGTCCTGGAATCCATGGACTTTACTCTTCATATCATCTCTGCCCTGTCCTAGTGTTCCCTTCCTGGCCTCCCTCAGTGAAGACTGCTCCCTGGCTGTGCTGGACTCGAGCCTTTCTGAGGTGTAAGTATGAAGTGAAATCCTATGGTCAGGAATCAGGGAGGGAGCAGCGGATGAACAGATTCTTTTTTTTTCTCCGAGAGAAGAGGGAGAATTCTTCATCTGTATCTGAGAGGACTGGGGACTAGAAGCAGGCAGGCTCCTCCCTGTACCCAGGGCTGATTTACAACCAGCTATATCCCTGGTAGAGGAGGCCTGTTGGGGGGTGGGTGGAACTTCTGAGTCTAGTGTTCCAGCCCTCTCCTACAATAGGGCAGCCTACATTTGTCATACAGAGAATCATGTATATGAAATGCAACCTGCTATAAGGTAAAAGGCATGGACTAGAAGATCTTATACTTTCTTCTGTGCCATAATTTGCTGCCTAGCTCTGGCCCACATCACTACCTTATTCTGGCCAGCATTTCTTCATCTGTGAAAATGGAGGACTGGATTGGATGACTGATGACGTGAATGACTACACTACCCTTCTGGCGATGAGGGCATAAGATGATGAAACGTGTACACATCAAAATAGTGTGCTGTGGATTTGTTGGGTGTCTTTCCTCTTACATCTTTTTGTTCTTGTCTTTATCATGCCCTAGAATTTTATTTTTTCTTCTGTTCTAGGTTTAGAAGCCGAGCCCACAGAGACTTTGTGAGAGATGCTACTTGGTCCCCACTCAATAACTCCCTCCTTACCACGGTGGGCTGGGACCATCAAGTCATCCACCATATTGTGCCCACAGAACCTCTCCCAGACCTCAGATGTGAGAGTGCTGCTGAGTAGATTGTATTTAAGAAAAAGGCAAACCCCCATGCGATTCACTCCTTTGTTCCTGCCTCAGCTTGTGAGACAACACAGGAGATTTGTGTAGTGTGTCGATACACTAGATCTGTAAAGTTCATAGGCATTGTATTTCAGCCTGAAGGAAGCTGGATTCTGGGATCCTATAGTTGAAGGAAGGAAAAACTTTCTTGAAAATGGGTAGTTGTATATATGTATCTGAGTGTATTTGTAGATCTATAGGTTTTTGGGAGGAGGATGAAAATTATCCTCAGTTTTCCCAAACATCCCCCTACACCCCCTGCCTCCAAATTGACAGTTTTATGCTTCCCATGTAGCTGTGGGGAATTGGCTGTGTCTGGGCAGAGTATGGGATCTGAACATCCTTGAGTTCTTGGAAAGAGCTCTTCTGCTATTTGTAGAGACAGGGGCAACTTACTGTTTTATAAAGCTTAATTCAACATTATGGGAACTAATTCCATGCACAAGAGCCCAACCCAGCTACTTTGAAGGAGAGGCAAGATACACTCACCAAAGTTTTGCACAACTACTTGCCATTAAACTGAATCAGAAATCTATTTTCTGGCTGCAGTTTGGCTAGTACTTATGTAATGCCTACTTCTCTGCCCCCCATGGCATTGTGTATATGAGAGATGAGTGCTTTTCTGTCATAGATTCCACAGCAGAAAGTTAGGGATGACGGAGAGCTTAAAGGCTTTTCAGTGAAGTTAGAAACTGACATGGACTGTTACAGAGAAATCGTTGTCACTTTTCCTACCCAAAACCAGCCTGGAATCTGACCTGCTTCTGGCCCTCTTTATCTGGACATAGGAAGTCTGAATGCTGTATTTGTGGACTCCTAAGATGTTGAAATCCAGCATCAGGAAAAAAATGAAATACTGGTTGGTGAAATAAAGAGTTTATGTGTTTGTCTTTTTTGAAGTCTGTGTTATGTGTGGTTAGACATAGTGTATTTTACTTATGTGGGCCAGGGTTTTAGTCTGTTTTGTCTTGCTTTTTGAGATAGTGTCTCACTGTGTAGTTCAGATTGGCCTTGAACTCACAGCAAGCCTTAAGCCACAGCCTCCCAAGTGCTGGGGTACAGGTGTGCGCGCCACTTCTGGCCAGGGTATCGAGTTTTATAGCCTACAGTGTTTTCTATGCTTCCCCAGTTCCCAGAGTAGCTAGTTGGAATGTTTTATTTTCTCAGTTGCAATGGCCACTGCCAGTTAGAAGTCATGAATGAGTTACTGATTGTGTTGAAAGTAAATATAATCAGTTATATACTTTTGAACTTTGCAAATTTAGGTAAAATTACACGAAACTGGGCATCTTAAAAGAATGTGGACAAAATATTTCTAAGTAGAGTTTCTGTGCATCATCCTGATAATCATGAACTCCCTGTTCTCTTGCTTACCCTTGAGAAAAACACATGAGAAGTCATGATTTCCTGGTGTTAATGTGGGATATGAATAAAGTCTTCCATTGTTCTTAACTATTAACTTCTGAGGAAGAAGTAGGATTGGTAAGTAGAATCACTTAAGTTCTGTTCAGACGTAAAACCTTAAATTTTGTGGTCACTTAGAATAAGGAGGGATATGACATGCATAGGTATTAAATTTATTTATGTAGCTCTTTTCCTCTCGGGTTTAAGAAGAGTAGAGAACAACCTGAAAGAAAAGATATCAAGGTAATGTGTGTATGTGTTGTGATGGTTACAATGATACCAAAGAAGGAAATCAAAGTTTTTGAAGAACTACATTATTTTTTATTAAAAAACAAAAAATTTGGATTTAGATGGATTTATGCTGAAGGGCATGATTCACATCTATTCATGACCGCCTCAAGACGTGTAAACCTAATCAGAGTCACAGGAATGAGTAGAACAGTTTTGGATGAGCAGGTAATGGTGAGAAGTTTAAAAAAAGGTGAGCTCAAAGTAATGAGGGATGCAGTGTCATGTGGGTTGATTCACTGGGTCCTTGACTTGAGAATAGTTCTAGGACAGTGAGCATGGACTTGCTGATGACAGAGCAATGGAGAGCATTTTGTTTAAAAAAACCACATCCTGCATTTAATCTCACTGGTTCAAATGTCTGGAAACACTGGAGTAAATCTATTTCCTAACTTCATTATTCTTACTCTGAAGTCCAGTATCCTGATCCACTGTATTCCAGTACTGATCTCTGGTCCACCAAGGTCTTCAGTAGTCCTTGGACCCACAAAGAACACTGAAAAAGTTTTACATAGATTGAGGTGAAATCAGACACCAAGTGATTTTCAATGTATCTCCCCTGCCCCAGAGAACAGTGGGAATATGGATCATTAATAAATTGCTATCTAGGCATTACTGGTTCATAGTCACAGCAGCAAAAATAACATTCTAACTGCTTTGGGCCATGGACAGGAGATAGAGATGGGTCCTTATATTTTACTTTAAAAATTAGATTCAACATCAGAGGGCTCCAAAAGGTACTTGCCACTAGATAGACCTGAAAATAAAGGGCTCTGATTTTTAAAAGATATTCTTGTTGCCTTTGGATGACATGAGTAATGTCTTTCAAATACATGTGTGTATATGGATGCATACACACATGTTGTATTTCAGCAGTTTAGCATAACTGAGTCTACCAACTAAGTGACAATAGGAAAAAAAAAAGACTTGTTCCAAAACTGCTTATATCATAAGCATTTCAGTAAGGACAAAATGTTTTTGTGCATTCTGAGAAGCTTTAGGGCATCTAAGAACAAATCTAGAAGAAGCTGAGAGAATTCATAGCCAGTCACCATTTGTAGAGAGTGTCTAAAATTTCTCTCGAACTTGGCCTACAGCCTTTGAAATACTTTTTTGGAAAAGTAAACAAGATTAAGTAGATCACTCTTGGGCCCAAACACATTTCCTTGTTGAATTCTCCATCAAAAAAGGAGCAGTTACAGAATTTTTCAATTTTATTTACAATCACAGGAATAGTACAATCCAGAGGAGCCGAGAGAATGAACATATAAAAAGGAGGGGTCAGTTCTTAAGTCGTGGAGGTGCATTGCTCAAGCCATGATCCTACAGTCTCACACATTTAGTGTGGTCCTCCATTTACTGTGGAAACCTTCCTTGCAAATGATGCTCTGCAGCTTCAGTGTAAGGAACAGATTATCAAAATTCAAATAAGAGTTTAGACTCCAAAGAACGTTCTTTAATGTTCTGGTGGAAGTCCAGTCAGTGTCATTGGTTTTGAGTATCTTTAGTGAATATAGATATATCTCAATTGTCTCTAAGATGTTGGAGTTCCAAATTCCAGTCAAGCATTTCACATTGGGAGGTACTGGGTTATAAGCATTAGGAATTTTAGTTTCAATTTAGTCTCAGCTACATAGTTAAGACTGTTTTAGAAAATGGATTTTACATGTACAAGCTAACTTAGCTTCAGGTTCTGCAGTCTTTGCAACTTGTCTGTCACAGAAACCCTCTGATGCTGGCTGGCCTTAAAGTGTTTCTAAGTCTGGCTGTGCTCATTTTCTTGATTGCCTTTGTCAGCTCATTCCAACGGCTGGCCATTGAACGTTGGTTCTGGGACTGCAAGGATAGTTCAGCCATGAGTCCTTCACCAAGAGACCTCACTTTGTAACAAGTGAAGTTTTCTTTAATTTTTAAATCTAGTGTTATAAAAGACAAGTAGTAGTATGCTCTGAAGTCTATGTTAGAACATAAAGGACAAGAAAAAAAATATGAAAACATAGTTTTATGTGATATATTTTTTCTAGTACACTTTAAACATTTAAAGTGATGAGCTCAAAGTAATGAGCTCAGGCTAGGAAAAGGGAGGGGAGAAAGGGCAGGGCGGGGGGTGGGGGAGTAAAAATGATCAAGATGTATTTGTACACTCCCCAGAATGAATGTAATTATGTATCACAAACATACATAATACTTTTTTTAAATTAACTGGAAAAAAATAAAATCATGCACAAACAAAAAAAATTCTCTTTTATACTAAATATTGGGAGATCACCTTCACTTTAAAGATGAGACAATTGACTAGGAAATGCTCTTTCAAATTTACCATGCTCTTGGTGAACACTTTAAAATTCTTATTCAACCACCAGCTGATTTTGTTCAATTGTACTTTTCCAGTTTATCTGCGTGACCATTATGAAAGATTTGGACAAATGCATTGTTGAAACCAAAGCACTTCACATCTATGGCTTTCATCTAGATGAGTCTTGTTAAATTTGAAAGGGTTCACTTTCCTTTAGGGATTTCATTCCTTACACAAGTAAAAGAGATCTGTAAATGTCTGCTCCACTTCGTGAGAACAGGCTAAGCCCTATGGATGTATATTTTCTAAGTACCCAGGTGGGTGTGTAAAAATAAGGTTTGTTTTTTTTTTTTTTTTTTTTTTTTAAATTTAAAGAAAAAATTTATCGAAGATCTGAAAAACAATTCCTAAAAGATTGACTTTTCCAGAAAACTGTAGCTACACAATGCATTGCATCTATCATGTTAAAACGTGCATTAAACACAAATACAAAAACCATGAAACAATTCACCATTCTTCAACAATTTGAGCAAAACAGAAAATGCCTAAGGAACAACATGAATGACTTGCAAAAGATGGGCTCTTTAAGCACCGTTTAAAAAAAAAAAAAGCACAAATGGATGAATGTGTTCAGTTATATACACTGAATTGGACCTTTGGCACTAGGAATCAGAGCATTTTGTCATATAGCATTAACACGTATTATAAAAGTGCGTAGTGTCAAAGGAATAGAACCACCAGCATTCATAAAAGCAGCTTTGTCAACTAGGCAATAAAACACTACACCATGTCTCTTTGTTGTCCATCATTGAATACACTGGTAGCAACTTTGAAATGAAAAGAAAAAAGGAGCTGCAACCCCTTTTATTTTCTCTGTTTAAAATCAAAACAAACATCAACTCTGTTGTACACTAACATCTTCAAAGTACATCATTTGTACAAGAGAAGGACTAGGAACAAAACATGTTGACCGACATCCAAACACACGGGTGAGAGCGCCTCACATCGCTTTCCGATGGTACTCAGGAAGGGCCACTTCATAATCACTGGCACTAAAAGTTGCTGAATTCTTTGCCAGATACTTGAGGAAATCATGAAGATAATTCAGTAATAAAGCAAGGCTCTTCTCATCCAGAGGTGTGTAGGCCAACATACCTCCAATTCGTACAAATAATCTCAGTAGATGTGGTGCTCCGTACACCTGCGACATGGGTGCATCAGGGTGATCGGCAAGGATCTCAGCGTACTGTGGTCTCTCAAATTTGTAGAGGAGCTGAGTGCCCAGCATCACATTGAAGTATTCTTTTATCCCTACTACAACCTCATTAACAGCATACTCCTTATTACCCGTATTTCCTCGAGATTTCTTATAATTTGCATAGTCCTCTAGAATGGAATCCACATTCTTCTTGGCAGGAAGGTAAAAGAGCTGTTTCTGTCTGGTAATTAAGTCCCAGTCATCAACAAGCCACGGTTTTAGCTCTTCAGGGATCTTTAACTTCAATTCTGTTCATAAATGTTTCTTCATTTTCAACAGTAGGATCTACCCGGGCCCTCTTCTTCCAAGGAGGCTGAGGTGTCTCACTGGTACTGCCACCATCTCCATTACCAGGGGTTTTTTTGTTTGTTCTTTTTTGTTTTCACTTCAACATTCTTCTGTTGCAGACCAGATGTCTTCTTTCCTGGAGCAGCCCCTCTCATCTTTCCCTCTGCATACTGCTCCTGATTGGCTTTTTGAAGTTCTCGCTGTTTCTGTAGATTGGTGTCCACATATTTGAGTACTCTGCTTTCTGGAACCCAGTCGTCCCAATTTTTATTCCAACTACTGTAATGTATAAAGTATTTTACATGTTTGTCCTTTATGGCAACCTTTACACACTTTGCTTCATAAAGAAGAGGCCCATGAAAGCACAGTACTCGTTCACCCTCCTGGAACTTGGGCTTCGGGTCCTGCTTGGGCGCCATTTATAAGTGATTTGCCGCCTCCTTCTCCCACCACCCCCGACTACCGCCCCCTACTCTCTACCCCACCTGAGCTCGCGTCAGACGCGCCGTCCGGCACAGCCGCTCTACATCCTGGGCCCGATTTGAGCGCCCGAAGACCTCACAGAGCCGCAACCGCGCAACCGCCGCCAGCCAACGACCGCCCGCCACGCACGCGCCTGCCCTGTTTTGTTTTGGTTTTGACAGCGAGAACTCAAAAGCGTTGTGAGCAAAGAAAGTGACATGGCACACTGATTTTCAACATAGCTTTCCTCAGCATTTCACTATTTATCATCTGCTAGGCATAGAGAGTCATACTGCCAACTCTTTGGCATGGTTGTTCTGAATTAAGAAGAGGTCGTTCTTGGGTGTCCATTGTTGTATCTTGGCATTCTCAGCATCATCAGTCACTTTTTCAGTTGAAGAGGTCCAGTCTGAAATCTAGCCATGAGGCCTGCAGCAGGATAACAGCCCAAAGGACGGACGCAAGTACAGATTAGTGAGGTTCAGATTGACAGGCAAATTTGGCTTCTGCAGTGGATACAGCATGCACAACTAGGGCCCCTGGCAGCAGTGTGAGTGGAAGGGCACAAACCTGGTGGGAAATTTCAGTGAGGTGGGAAATTGGAAGGCAGGCGTTGCTGGGGGGGAAGCTCAGAAGCAGAGAGAGGCAAGCTCCTGTTCCACATTAAAGACATCTCAAGAGCGCCAGTAAGGCCTCAGGATGAAACATAGAGGGGCCTGGCAAGCCCAAGGCCCCAGGAACCATTTGTGGTGCCAGTAGTTTACAAAACAAAAAAAGAAGTCAAAACACAGACCCAGTAACAAGAATTAGGGCACATAGGTAGGAATTGGGAAACAAGTAAGTGTGCCCTCATAGAGTTAGAAAATATACCAGAAGTCATCTACCAATGGTACAAGTTGTTGGCAAGCCTGATCCAGTATTGCCCTCAGGAGGCTTTATCATCTCCTGATTTCAGTTAATCTTAGCCCAAGGAACAGAGAGTGCATGGAGAAACGGGCCTCAAGTGGCCTCATGATGGTACAGCAAGAGTAGGATGTCAAGTCTGTTTGACAACAAAACTCATGTTTTCCTCACTGCACCCATCATGCTACTTCTCCAAGAAAGGGTCACACACACGCATGCACTCACGCACACACGCACACACACTACCTCTGAGGATAGAATGGATCTGTTCACAAAGTCCTTGAAAGTAGAAACTGGTAAGTGTCCATCAGGGGCTGACACATACTCAATGAATATTTGTTGAAATATTTATTGAATACATGGGGAAGATAAGGAAGGATGAAGAAAGGAGACACTGTCTCCACTGGATCTCTGTTGGGTGGGTGTTCCATCAGGATTTCCCAGAGCTTCAGTGAGATATCCCTGACCCTTGCATTCTATACCATTTGTTTTTATTCCATGATATCCAATCAAACTACTGATTTAAAAACAATGATTTTCTTGGTTACTTTGTAGTATAGACAAAGGATAGATGTTATTTGGATTTGACCACTAGTCTCTGCTACTCCCTGGGTCATATATTACATTGAGATCTGGTTAGTAGCTCATATTTGTACATGGATTAGGTGAACAGCGGGAGTCTCTGAAAGGGTGGGCATGTGCCTGAGACCTGCTGTGGCAGAGAAAGAAAATTGGCAGATCATAAAAGCATCTGCCTTAGAGACTCATTCTGTTTATCTTTCATACTGCTGTTGTAATTTTTTAAAATTGGCTGTCAGAGGCCCAGAATTGTATTTATCCTATACCTGAGGTTTATGACACACTCTCACTATTAGCTTATATACTGGCTCAAATATCACTGACATACACAAATTCAGATTTTTGTCTTCTCTTGAGAAAGCAAAGGATTTACAAACACTGGCTCTTATTTTCCTGTGGGGCAACCATTAGCAGCTACTCAGAGGGCTGTTCCTGGTCATGCCAACCTCTGCTGTCTCCTGACCAAGAGGCATCATATCCCTTGATCTGTATCACTGGGCGTGAACTGTTACTCACCTCATAATTGAATGCATAGTTTTATTATGTGTACTTCGCTGCTTTACATGACCTCCTGTTGAGTATCAGTATTTGAGTTTGAGAACTGTTCTCTGTTGGGCAATCCTTTCGACAACCTCCATTCATTGAGCCCTGATAGCAAATGAAGTACTGAACTAACAATTTTCCATACTTTATCTCTTTAGTCCATATAAAGCCTTATGAAGTATGAGCCATTTATGTATGGAAACGGAAGCTCACAGAAGCTAGAGAAACTGTCCAAGATTATAAAACTTCTAAGTGGTGACATTAAGATTTAAGCATTGCATTTAAACCGGGTGTGGTGGCACACACCTGTGATCCCAGCACTCAGGAGGTTGAGGTAGGAGGATCACTGTTAGTTTGAGGCCAGCCTGGACTACACAATGAGTTCAAGGCCAGCCTGAACTGCATAGTGAGAGCTTATCTCAAAAAAAAAAAAATCCTTGCATTTAAAGGTTGGACCCAAAGCCTGAGTCCAAAGTCCAAAGCTGAAACTTTTAAACTTTACATTAGACTTCTTCCACAATCAAACATCTTGTAACAGCAGACTCACAGCTATCATGCAGTGTTCCTCCCATATAGGGCTGAACACCAGGAAGCAGCACTGAGTACCAGGCATGGCTCAGGAATGCTCTCCTTCCCTTCTCACTGCCCATGATGGACACTCACTCTCTGCCAGTGTCAGACAAGGGTTGCGGCTTTTTTGGCTCTGAGAGCTATAGCTATGCTGAAGAGGGAGGACAGGTGGTTCTGGAGTCACTCTGACTCTTATAAATCACTGATCTTGGCCTGGGTTGTGTGTGTGGCCTGGGTTGTGTGTTGTGGTGGGTACACAGCTAGGCTGTCCTACTGCTGTATATGAGCCAGTCCCTATAAAGGGGTTCGAGCTCTGGCCTCACAGCTGCCAGACCACTAAGATGGGGGAGGCTGTTGTTATGGGTCGGTAAGTGTAGAAGTTCTTAGCAATGTGTCTCAGTCCAGGAGGTGCCAGGCTTTCCAAGTTTGTCATCTCTTTAAGCCCAAGGAGAGTAGCCTAGGACTCAGGGGTCTGGATTAGGTAGAGATGGGCTGGGGCATAGTGAACATCAGAACTCAGGGAGGAAAGATCATAGCCATGGTTCTCCATTGAACATTAGACATTTTCCTGCCTGGGTTCCTCTTGGACCAATTAAATGAGAATCTCTGAAGGAAGGGCTAGGATACCAATACTTTCAAATTTTGCAGCCAGGATTGAGAACCACTGGCCTGGAGCTCTTGCTGGAACTTCTAACCATCATCATTCCTGTGCAAAGCATGTGTGTATACATGTGGTACTTATTAGAGATAAAAGGAACTTACATACATTTAGCTTCATTGGTTCAACTTTAGAGGAGTAGAACTGAGAGAACAGTGTGTGACTCCATTTGTGTATCTGTATCTGGATATAGTGCCCAGTTGGTAAGGGCACTTGCTAATCAGGTGTGTGGGGAGGATGCCACTCGAGGTGTGTGGATGAGTCTATGTGACTCTTTCCTCTGTTTCTTGCAGTGCTGGCTCTTGTGCTGAAACACCACGATGGTAAGAAAATTGTATTCTTTCCTGCAGAGCCAAGGAGATTCTCTGGCTAGGAAGTTCTCCACATAGCCTGAGCCCTGGAGCTCCTGCCTGCCCTGGCTCCCCTGCCAGGGATTACTGATCCAACGCAGTGCAGCAGAGGATACTTGGTCACCTGCTTTTTGTGTCATTCTGTGGCAGGATCCAGATTTAAGGATTCATTTTTGACCAGGATTTCATAAGACCTTCTCTCCCCTCTATTTGGGGATCTCAGTAAGGGGGAGGGTCTGGGCCTCACTGAGTCTCTGGGCTGTATGTGGTGGCATGGTGGAATCTTGTTGGGCCAGATGTTCATACTTCTCTCTGGAAGCTGAACTCCACATCTTCCTTTGATCTCTTGACATGTGTGCCCTCCCTCACCAGGTGCTGCCTACAAACTGGTGTGTTATTTCTCGAACTGGGCACATAGTCTACCAGCCCCTGCCTCTGTTTTGCCCTGTGACTTGGAACCCTTTCTCTGCACCCACCTGATATTTGCCTTTGCCTCAATGAGCAACAATCAGATTGTTGCCAAGGATCTTCAGGATGAGAAAATTCTCCACTCAGAGTTCAACAGACTCAAGGAGAGATGTGTTCGTGTTGGATGTGAGCTTGAATTTTCAGATTTTACTGATGTAAGAGAATTAAACCCACTTCTCCTGTTATTTTAAAATATTCCTCTGATCTCTCCTGTCCTAGCCTCCTCTCACATGCAGCTCCAGAGCATCCCTAATGTAAGAACTCCCTGTTGACAAAGTGCTTGAGCTCCTTCTTGCCTCCTTGCCTTGGTAGTTGTTGCTGCTTCCTCTGGATGTTATCTCTTTCCTCTTGGCCTGGCAAACCTCAGGTCCCCTTTTGAGCCCAGGTGTTAGGATTTAAGGTATTGGGCTGGGGATTTAGCTCAGTGGTTCCATCACCTACCTCTGAAAGCACAAGGTTCCGAGTTCGATCCCCGGTGCCAAAAAAAAAGAATTTAAGGTATTAATGCCATGAAAGTGCTTCAAAGAGGTCCTGAACATCACAAATGCTCAACAAATGCTGGTGTTCTTTTTTATCTTTTGTCACCTGTGACTCCCAAGTCGTGAGCTCCTCAAGCCAATGTTTCCTATGTCTTTGGACACTTAGTAGCTAGGTCAGTACTTGCATACAGTTGGCACTCAGTAAGTACTTGCTTAAGTTTTCCCCTGTCCAGAACTCCTTGGTTCTTTCCTTGCACAAGGCAAGGTTTGTTGCTGCATAGGTGGGCAGGATGAAAATCCTTTGCCCACAGATCAAAGGTCCCTGAGAGAGGGGAGCTTGTCCACTGTTTAATATTGTATCTCAAGCACCTAAAGCAATCAAGGCACGTAGTCATTGTTCAACAAGTGTTGCTGGATAAGCAAATGAGTGAAGAGGAACATGTTAGACTACTCCTTTATCTCTGGAAACATGGGGAAAAGGGGAAGCCTGGTGGATTTTGTTCAGCCTTTGAATTGTGGGGCTGTGATAAGGCTTGAGCTGATTGCTCTCCCTGCTTTTCCTTTCCTCCTCTTTCCTGTGTTCTTCTTTCTTCTCCTGTCCACTTTTGCCTTCCTTTCTTTCCTCTGTGTTCTATTCCCCCATTTCCCATTGTTCTTCCAATTTGTAAAGCAAAATGAATGGTAAATTCAGCTGTGCCCTGGTATGAAGACCCAACTTACTCACCCTCTGCCCCACATACTAGGAACAAACTGCTGAAAACACTGCTGTCCATTGAGGGGTGGAACTTTGGCACATTGAAGTGAGCTCTTGTCACCAGCTTTTTTCTGGGAGGAGAGTTGGGCAGGAGCGCTAGAAATGAGGGTTGGGGGTGAGAGAGCCAGCTTGGCCATGACGGCAGCAAAGCTAGGCAGATGCTTCCCCCAGCCCTGATTTCACCTTGGATTCAACCTCCCTTTCCCCCACCATGGAAGGTCACAGGAAAGAAGGACGTTCTACCAGGTGGCAAGAAAGGGAGTAAGAGGGGATAAGAAACAAAAGGAGACATATTCCAATGAACCCTCCACACTTCATAAAAGTCAGGGGCTTTGTCTCTGAAGAGAGGAGTCTTGTGTGGAACAAGAATGAGCCCCAAACCACACAGGGCCTGGGTTTCCTCACTTCCTAAGTGGGGCCAGTGATATCAGTCTCAAAAGCGGTATTGGAGAAAAAGGAGCAACAAAGCTAGTCTCTTAGTGCGTGGGCACAGTGAATGCACTCAGGGTCTCACGGATACTCTTGTCAGCACTGCACCCTCTAGGAGGCAATGTGGAGTAGACAACCTGCCTGCATATTCTCTGAAGAAATGCTACCCCTCTATCATGGCCAAGGCCTGGGCCAGAGGCCTGCCTGCCTTCTACCCTTTGAGGAAGACTTGGTGGCTTGAAATAAGTGAGGATGACTCTTGTAAGGGACCTTCAGACATGATGGAAGAAAGATTCCGGAAGTGAAGTGACAACCCTTTCTTCCCGAACCCAGCCTTCACCTCTCCCACTCCGAACACTTGCCACAACCAGAGGCTGGGGGCTGCACATGTGTTATCTTGAAACTGCCATGGAAAATTTAAAGTGGTTGTTTGTATTCCTAATTGGTAGGAAAAGAAAGCAAGAGTCACAGATATTAATTTCTCCCAGCTATCCCTCAGATATCACCCAGCTGGGAGGTGGCAGGCAAGACGATGGAACCCAGGCCTGTTTGTCTACGAGTCTGGTTATTTTCTAAGTATTGTCCACAGGACTAGCCCAGGATTGCTTAAAGTTCAGCTCTAATAAGTTAGAATTTTTCCAAAAGTACCTTCACACTGAAAGAGAAAACAAACAAAAATCAAACAAGAAAATCAACAAAAGAGTCAGAAATTCCTCTTTAGAACACTGGCCTCCTATGTAAACTTATTCAGCCCAGGCCCAGATGAGCTCATAAAGCCTCACTCCAGACAGGGGAAGGATGTCTGCTAGAACAGGTGGAGGGAACTGACAGTTATCAGTGAGGAGCCAGCAGAGTGCCTTGCCAGCAAGTAAACCTGGCCAGGGACCTTGAAAGAGGTTTAGATTCTGTGAACAGCATTCTTTGCCCCTCACCCTGGTTTCTCTGCAGATTCACCACTATGTTGTCCACATTTGCCAACAGTGAAAAGTTTATTGATTCAGTTATCACTCTCCTGAGGACGCATAACTTCGATGGACTCGACCTTTTTTTCTTGTACCCTGGACTGAGAGGCAGCCCCACGCATGACCGGTGGACATTTCTTTTCTTAATTGAAGTAAGGCCACTCTGGGAGCACTGGAATCTGGCAATGGCTGTACTTTTTTGTTTGTTTTTTAATCATGTCTGGTCTCATGGCTAACAGGGAATAGGCTGGGGCAGGAGCAAGAGACAGGAAACAGAATGTTCTTTCCTGCCATTATCCCTAGAAGTGTTAGGCCTACTAACTGCTGAGCAGGTACCTTTGGTTGCTCTTTTTCTGTCTGTATCTGGGCCTTGCTCCAGCCCTCCAGCCTAAGTGGTGCATTCTCTATGCAGCATCCTGAACTCACTTGGACAGTGCAGTCTGGATTTTGTGCTCCCTGTCTGTTCATCTCACCTCTGTTAAATCTACACTTTGTTAGTCTATTTCTGCTTTTCTCGAAACCTGTGGGAAGGGGCTGTGTGTCCTTCAGCTTTGTGTCCCCAGACTTGCCCTAGGGAGCTCGGTATTGTAAAAGTTTCCTGGATGACACTTTCTGTCCCCAGCTGTTTTCTCTGGTTCTGTCTTTCTTCCTAGGAGCTCCTGTCTGCCTTCCAGAAGGAAGCACTGCTCACTAATTGCCCAAGACTTCTCCTCTCTGCTGCATTCTCTGGTGTCCCACACATCATCTAAATATCTTATGATGTGTCCTTTTTAGGAAGGTGAGTAGATGTGGCCCTGGTGGGCAGGATATTGGAGGGATGGAGGCATCTTGAAGACAGAACCCCAGAGCAGCTCATACACTGCCACTGTACTTGTCTTGTGCCTGCCCTGGTGTCAGTGGGGATTAGGAGTAGGCTGAGTAGTGTGGATGGGGACAAGAGTCAGCTACATTTTTATACCCTGGGCCTTTCTTCAGAAGATTAGAGGGAGATGCTGTAGTACTGGCTACAATGTTATCATGGGTAGAGTTTTCTGCATGGCCTATTGCTGGATCTCAGAAGGACAGAATGCCCTGAGCCTGGCCTGGCCTCTTCTTACTCAGAGGACAGCTATAGATACTATGCAGAAGATGTTGGCATGAGAGCACAGATGAGTTAACCACTGCTATAAAACCAGAGAGGAATGCCCATTCACACCCAATTTTCAGAGCAGATCTCCACTGCAAAGGTTAAAAAGGTGGACAAGAATTGCACATAAATCTTTCTGGACATGCTGGCTCTGGGCTAATTTTCTGGAACCTCAACAATCAAGTACTTACAGATGAGGAAACTGAGGCAGGTGTAGGGAAAGGGAGGATGTAGTGTTTCTGTATGTGATTGCACAAGAGAGCCATTTCAATGTGGAAGAAACGTGAGAAGCCAAGTAGAGAATGGAGATTGTTAGTGTTAGTCCAGTAGCTGGGGAGGATTGAGAGAGTTCTGCCTTCATCCAGCTGGATGACTTTAGGCAAATTAGTTTACTTGTCAGAGTTTCAAATTTTTCTGCTACAAAATGGAGAAAGTTATAGTACTTAAGGTATTGGCCAGATTAAAATGAAATTAGATAATCAATGTAAACTACTTCTACCTCTGATCTGTCACATGCTCAATTATACCTGGTCATTATGAAAGCTCTCTGGAGTGATGGGTTTCAGGGCCTCTTTGAATGGTAGAAAGGCAGCAGCTCTTTTATTGCTGTAGGATAGCACTGCTCTGACTCATAACAGTTATGCAGACTTATCTGAGTCCTGCCCACTTCCACAGAAACTCTCAGCATGCATACAGACTGATGCACTGTTATCCCTAGCCAGCAGTTTGTCCCATCTCAGCGTGGGTGGTATAGCCTGGGCAGGTTCCACAGGTAGAAAGAGCAGGGATGCTCAGGTGACCAATGCATGGCTGCTTAGCCAGTTAGTGCTATGATGTTCTCCCTTGAAAACCTGGCTACTCTGACCTCATACCTCCTCCTCTCTTCCTTAAGACTCTTGGATTTCAACAGCATCTTGTCTCATGATTTGCATGGAAGCTGGGAAAAGTTCACAGAACATAATAGCCCCCTGTTTTCTCTTCCAGAAGACCCCAAATGTTCAGTAAGGAAAGAGCTCAGGCACCCCAGACATTGGTCCTTGAGCCCAGGCCATTGTCCATTGGAAACAGGGAGACCAGGCATGGTGGCACATGCCTGTAACCCCAGTCCTTTGGGAAGCTTAGGCAGGAGGATCACAAATTCAAGCCCATTGTTGGCAATTTAGTGACTTAATGAGATCCTGACTCAAAGTAAAAAGGCCTGGGGATGTAGCTCAGTGAGTCCAATCACTAGTATGGGGTGGGGGTGGGGTGAGAGAAAGCAAGCAAACCAGCCAGCCAGCAGGCAGCTGGGCATGGTGGCACATGCCTGTAATCTCAGCACTCCAGAGGCTGAGGCAGGAGGATCACTATGAATTTGAGGCCAGTCTGGGATACATAATGAGTTCAGGGCCAGCCTTAACTAGATAGCAAGTCCCTGTCTCAGAGAAAGAGAGAGGGAGAGGGAGAGGGGGAGGGGG